CGGGGGGCCCGGTGGGCTGCGCGTGCTCACGGCGGCGCTGAGCTGAGAAGTGCGGTGAGCTTACCCGGAGGCGCCTGGCGGCCTACGAGACGAGTGGGGGGCCGGGGAGGCCGTTCTGGACGTTGGGCCTCTTCCAGGCTGGAAGCCGGCCGGTCCGCCAGCCCCGTCCGCGCCGGCTCTGAGGTCCTCGTGAAGCGTTTTCCATCCCCGTGGGTCTGCGCCCTGCTGCCGGTTCTCAGGGGGGCTCCGAACCCGCGTGGAGACATCCCGAGATAAAACTCCGAGCGCTTGAGTTCAGCCCGAATTACATTCTGATTGAGGTGGAAAGCCTGCCCTCACTTTGCTATTTCTCTCTCTCTCTTTTTTTAGAAAGATCAACCGAAATTGGCAAACTTCTGAGTTCTTACTTGGAAAAGAAAAGTGAGGTGGAGGACCACTCGGTGCACCTGCTTTTCTCCGCGAACCGCTGGGAGCAAGTGTAAACGCTACCTTTGTGCTGCACACCCCCCTCCCCCCGCGCTTTGCCTCCTGCTTGAGATTTGGGCGAACGCTGCTCTTGTTTCGGAATATGGTGTTGGCAGAAATGCCAGAGGCTGGACCGTTGCAAGCAGCCGTCCTTAACCCCAGGTCTTAGAGCTCCGGTTCCCGAAGAGCAGGAATTGATGCCGTTTCTTCCTCCTGCCCTGCCACCTTTTTGTAATTAGTAGACTTTATTTTGTAGGGTAGTTTTACATAGTTGGAAAAGCTGGTGATAAATACAGCGTTTCCCCCCTACCCCTGTCCCTCCCTCCCACCCCCAATTTCCCATATTATTTGTCTTAGCTTAGTGTGTTATATTTGTGACAGCGGATGAACTGATGTTGACACATTTTTTTTTAAGATCTTATTTATTCAGGAAAGAGAGGGGGGGGGGGGGGGGGGGACAGGGAGCAGAGGGAGAGGGGCCAGCGCGCTCTGCTGAGCACGAGCCAGGTGCAGCCCTCGATCCCAGGACCATGAGAGTATGAACTGACCCGAAATCCAGGGTCAGACACTCCACCAACTGAGCCCCCCCCGGTGCCCCATGTTGACACATTATTAGCAGAAGTTCACAATTTACTTTTTCCCCCACCCCTTTTGTTTTACGTATTCTTCTACCTCCTCACTCAGCATTTAACTGTGATCAAGTGCCTGTGGCCTGTGCTTTTAGATGATTTTTTTCCATTTATATACACATATGTCATTGGAGTAGTTTGGTTTAACATAAATAAATGGGATCCTCCCATACAGACCATCTCATAATTGGCTTTCTGATTGTGCTTTGCAAAGCTCTGACTTTCCGTTCGGTCTGGGGTGCTCTCCAGAAAGGCTGTCCCCAGTAGATTCAGCCAGATACCTGTCCGTGGTTTTGCACTGGCACCTCTTAAAAGCAAGCCTGCACTGCTTTCTTCTGGCTTAACTGTGTCTGGTTTGGAAAGGCCTTCCCACTCCCAAGGACGAGAAGAAAATGAGATCATTTTTACAATCTTTAATACATCTGGAGTTTATGGACATAATTGTTCCAATTTGGTTTTTGTGGCTTTGTAGAAAAATAAGGTAGGTCCACTTAAAAGTGGAGAGTAATGCTGACACTTCCTAGTGATCCTGTCCCTGCCACACAGGCCACGTGCCCGTGGTCCGTCTGTTCTGCCGCAGCTCCCACGGCTGCCCACCAGCTGGGTGGCCGTCAGGGGGTGCCCCACAGCAGGTGCTGGTGAGGGTCAAGGAGAGCTGGCCAGGCAGGCCTGGGAGTGAGGGCTTAGTAAACCTGGGGTGCTTGGAAGCACTTTGTGAGAAACTGGTTACTTCCTCCAGCCCTTTAATTGTCCACCTTTTTGCTATGCTTCGTCTTAACTTGAATCAGTTGCTGCTTCCCAAAATACTTGTCCTCTGGCATCTTTACAGTTTGGCGGCACAGAGCGTGTGGTGCTCTCCTCACAGGATGGGGGCAACACCCCACCTCCCCTCCCCCATCTCTGTTTGCCAAACCCAGCGCTCCTCCAGGGGCATCTTAAATAGCACTCCGTGCAGCAATTCATTCCTAGAAACGAGCGATTTCTTTTACTTCCTGGATCAATCTAGCAATTTTCTACTCATTTTTAAGTTTTTACTTTGGAATAATTTCAGTCAACTGGAAGAGTTGCAAGAATAGTGCCAAGAATTCCTGCATGCCCCTCCAAACTTCACCTATTATTAATATTTTGCAGCATTTGTGTTATCATTTGCTCCCTTTTTAAAAATTACAGGTCATTTATTTTATAAAATTCAGGGTTGGTCTGATGTTTCCTCACAAATAGATTTGGGTTTGTATTTTTGTCAGGAATACCGTGGAAGTGACATTGGGTCAGTCGTCTTTAGGACACTTGAGCCAGGAGGGATGCAGTGTGGTTTGGCCCCCCCCCTGGATTGCTAAGTAGTCAAATGTGGAGGGACACCTGGGTGGCTCAGCCGGGGAAGTGTCTGCCTTCGGCTCAGGTCATGATCCCAGGTCTTGGGATCGAGTCCCACATCAGGCTCCTGCTCCACGGGGAGCCTGCTTCTCCCTCTGTCCCTCCCCCCTGCTTGTGTTCCCCCCCTCTCGGCAAATAAATAAAATCTTTAAAAAAAATCAGTGTAAAAAAGGGGGGGAATACTACAAAACTCATAAATATCCCCTTCCTCATCAAACTTTGATTTTTTACTTTATCACTCATTAATAAATCTTCCTGAGTCTGTTGTGATTTCAAATGGTGATTTTTCTATGTGTATTAGTCGGCTTCCTATGTAAGGAAGACTTTCCTGCCTCCCCAGGTCATCCATGTGTCCATCACCAGTGTGGACTCAACAGGTTCTTTTTTACTTGGTGAGTCATACTGCCAGTTGTTTTAATGTTTAGATGATTGCAAATTTGGCCTCTGGAAATCTCTTCATGTTGGCTTGTGTCCATTTGCTGTGTTCCCAGGCCTCATTTTTTGAGAACTTTTTGGTAGAACAAGATGTTCAGGTTTCTCTTGTGTTTTATCCTGCTCCAACCCAGGAACCAGTTGGCTCTTTTCTGTTTAATGGAGAGTGGTATTTAGAAACCAGCATCTGGGTACTGGGTGCTTGCTGCCAGTGAGCATCCCTGCCTCTAGGCTCCTGTTATGGTTGGACCTGCGTGTAAGTTTATCTTGGTCTGTGTCTGTTTACCTCTCTAGGTCTGTGCTAACTGAGACCTCCTGTTCCAGCCCGGCACCATGCTCTTCCTGGCTTGCGGCATCCTCAGTATACCCACCAATGTAAAAACCTTTGGAGAGGTCAATGCTGGTTTGCAGCTCTATCCTTAAAACAAGGGCACACTGAGGGCAGTGTTCAGAGGTCTCTTGGGGCAGGATTTTCCCATCACTGTGTGTTCGTTTGGGATACAGGTTCATTTGACTATATGATTTTAGGGTTTTTTTCCCATCTTGATTTAATTTTAGTTTTTGGAAACATGAAACATTAAATGGTTCTAAAAGTCAAAGTCAGGGGCGCCTGGGTGGCTCAGTCGGTTGAGTGACTGCCTCCCGCTCAGGTCATGGTCCCAGGGTCCTGGGATCAAGCCCCGCATCGGGCTCCCTGCTCTGCGGGAAGCCTGCTTCTCCCTCTCCCACTCCCCCCTGCTTGCGTTCCCTCTCTCTCTGTCTCTCTCTCTCTGTCAAATAAATAAATAAAATCTTTTAAATAAAATAAAAGTCAAAGTCGTAGAGAAAGTTCAGTGCCTTACCCACCTACTTTTGCCCTCCCTCTGCGGGTAACCTATTCATTTCTAGTGTTCCCCTCTAGAATCATCTTATACACAAGCAGACGTATGTGATGTCTTAATTCGCCAATTTGCCGCCTTCAAAAACATAGCCTGCCGTGTGTTTGTACTGCTTTCCTAAGGACATCGGGAGATGGTGTTCTTCCGGCTGATAGACAGCTCCCTCGTTCCTCATACAACCGCGTCATTCTCGTGTGCGTGTGCTGGAGCTGTTTGTTCTGTCAGTTTTCTGCTTATGAGGTCAGGTAATTTTTTTAATAGTTTGCAGTTACAGGTAATGCTGTGATGGAAACTGCATTTTACTGCCGGAGGTGTGCCTTCTGTCTCCCTACTGTTCTGTGAGCTTCTCAAGGTCACAGGTAACAAACATCTTTTTGTTCCACAAAGTGCAAGTGACACTTCTTGCTAATGTCAGGCTCTTTGTCTGTGCACATCTTCCTAAGATCTTGGGGCCAGGGGATGGGGGTTGAGCCGCCATCACCTGGTTGAGGACATCCTTGGCCACCCCATCCACCCTTGTCCTGGCCCTTCAGACTCTAGGCAGCGAGCGTCATCCCATCCTGGCTGCGTCTGCGCCTTTGCTCTCCCGGGCTCTCCTTCCCAGTGGGGTGGCCTGGCCCTCCACACCCCTGCCCAGACAGCCAGCGAGCCTTCGTCCGTTCATCCGTCTTCATCAGTTGTGTTTGTTTTGCTTTCGTGGACTTGTCTTTTTCACATTGGGCTTTGCTGGGAGCACCCCGGTGGCCTCTTCTAAGGAGAAGATCCAGAGCTTTTCTGAATACCCACAAGGCCACAGATCAGCGCTTTTCTGAATACCCACAAGGCCACAGATCACCGTGTGTTGGTTTCTGTATCAGTGAATTACACCATCAGGGCCTGTGAAGTCAGGACCATGGCTCAGAAACACGCTCTGTTTTTTAGGCCGCTGATTAAGAAGAAGTTGAGCCAGGGCGTCACCCTCGTTGTTGACAGATACGCATTTTCTGGTGTCGCCTTCACCAGCGCCAAGGAGGTGAGTGCCACGTGGTCCCCGGTGGGAAGATGCGGGCTGTGGACTCAGGAGTGTGTGGAGTGTTAGGATTCTTCTCTGCTTGGTTAGTTTGCTGTGTACCGTAGGAAGAGCAGACGTTTCTGGAGCCGCAGCTTTGCTGTCGGATAACTTGGATGTCACCACCTCCCTTTCCCAAGGTGGTTGCTCAGCAGCACTTCTCCATCCAGTGTCTTGTTTTCAGAGCAGATGGTGCGTGTCTGGGCGCCTTCTGTGCGGTTTCCCGGCCTCCCCGTGCCGTGGAGCTGTCGTTCTAGGGGTATGGTAGCTCTGCTACCGCTTTGTTCTGCTTCTTACTTAGAAGTTTTCAAATATATACCAGCAGAGAAAACGATAAGCCACCAGCACCGACACCTGTCTCAGAGCCTTCTGGTCTCGTCTCGGACCCATCAGACACATCACCGGCTCCTCCACCAACATTTCAGTTCACATTCCAAAAGTGACTTCTTACAAACATCACGTCGCCTCAGACAGCAGGCGTTTCGTGATACCGTCATTCGGTCCGTGTGCAAAGTGGCCAGTTCGGTTAGAAAGTATTTGATTTGTCTTGTGTTTCTACAGTTAGACTGGATCAGAATCCATTTCAGGGCCATACTTGAAGTGTCTCTTAAATCTCTTTTTAAAATACAGGTCCTTTTTTCTGTGCATTAGAATTTTTTAAAACTTTATTTTGGGGCGGCTACTTGAAGAAGCACTGGGCTCCCCTGTCAAGAGCCGCAGGGCATCTGGCTGTCTGGTTTGTGGTAACAGCCCTTGACGATGGTTCCTTCACGAGGGGTTGCAAAATGATAACCTTCTGATTCTGCCCGGCCTTCCTCGGGCGCTGGCTGGAATCCTTCTGAAAGGACACTTGCGCTATGAAGGGTTGGTCAGTGGGATTCCATCTGTAGAGAGGACAGGGAAAGTGACCGTCATGCCCCGGACGGCTCCCTCACGTCCTCCTGATGTGCTGCTGCTGGGGGGCTGTGGGGGCCGACAGAATTCTCAATTTTTGGTATGTCAGGGATTAGCTCATTTTTCCCCTTTTATGAATTTTGAAACTAACCATTAGACCCCATTAAGCCTTCTTTCTGTAACTGTTGGGTTCTGTGCTGCCAGAACTTTTCCCTGGATTGGTGCAAGCAGCCAGACGTGGGCCTCCCCAAGCCGGACCTGGTGGTGTTCCTTCAGCTGCGGCTGGCCGAGGCCGCCGTGCGGGGGGAGTTCGGCCGTGAGCGCTACGAGAGCGGGGACTTCCAGGAGCGGGCGCTGCGCCGCTTCCACCAGCTGATGGCCGATGAGACTTTGAACTGGAAGGTGAGGGCGTCTTCCACCGGCGCCTCCAGAATGGCCAACTGGGAGCTGCCGGAAAATGGCTCAGAGTCCTGCTACCGAGCAGAGACGTCAGCCGAGCACTGCTCCATCCGGCAGAGCCTTGGGGCGCGCCTCCCAGGCGTAGCAAACTCTTTCCTTCGTGAGTGTGCAAAGCAAGGGAGTTTGGGGCCTGGTGGGTGAGTTGGGGACACTTTGCCAGATAGCAGTTCCCAAACAGCAGTCCCGCGTGGCCAGCCGTCCTCCGCCGGGCTTTGCCGTGCTTGCCATCTAGAACACACAGCCCGTGAGTCACTCCTCACTTTGCCTTCCATCTGTAGCCTACAAGTCGCACTCTGGCTCAGTGTGTCTGTCGGCCCCCCCGCCCCCAGTCTCCTCGAAAGTTGAGTTTGGTTGGTTTGGGGCTCAGCCCCCAGCCCCTGGGAGTCATTTGCTGCCTCCCTCTCAACCCTTTCCTGCCAGTTCCTGCCCCAGGGCTGTTCCTCGTTTCCTCTCACGGGGATGAGCTCCTGTCTCCACGCTCACGCCCCGGCCTGGGCCTCGCCCGCAGACTCCCGTCCCCCCACATCACCACACTCGGGCCGGCTTCCTGTCTCCCTTTGCTCAGGGCCCCGCAGCCCTGCTCCCTCCATCTAAGGGAACCTCACCCAGGGCCCGGCCCCAGTCCCAGGGGCCAGCCTCACATCTCCCTCCCTGAAGGACCATCCACTGTCCTCCCTATGGACACCAAAGCTGGCCCCTTCCCCCTTCCTCCCTGCACGCACCCACCCCCAGACCCACCTCGTGTGAACACACCTGGTCGCCCGGGCCCACCTTTGTCCCCGTGTGGTCAGAGGCCGCCCCTGGCAACGAGCAAGCTGACAACGTTGACAGCTGACAAGTCTCACTCCCAAGACAGGCTGCACTCTTGCTGCTCTGGGGAAGGTTTAAGGGTGTTGGCTTTGGCTCCTGGTTTGGCCATCTTGTCTGATTGATGCTTCTCCCGCGACCTGCCTGTCTGCGGCCCTCCCCACTTCTCCACACTGACTTCCGCTCGCTCGTTGCCAGGGTGGGGGTTCCTCTGGGGGGCTCCTTTGTGGCGTAGGTTGCACACGTATTTTTAAAGTATGGGTTTCACCACTAGCTAAAAGTACAGCGTTCCTATGAAATCTCTCATAAGCGAAAATGGCATAAAGCAAAGAAGCAATTACCATTAATTTATATGGAAATGTTTTTTAATGTTCCCAGACCCAAAAAACCACCTTTCCTAGGCTTTTGTGACACATCTTGCTAACAGACGCACAAAATCAATGGAGATGAAGCCCAGATGCTCCCAGACACAGCTCAGAACTCGGCGGCTGGACGCCAACATGCCGAGAGAGGCTCCCGGGAAGGAGCCGGGGGCCGGGGGGGTGCGCACTGCCCCTGGGACGGCTCGCTGCAGAACCGGCGCGGAATGCTATTTTTGCTTTTCGCCTTTTTTTGTAAGAGCAAAAACACTTTCTGGATTTCCTTCGGTTAGCAAAAACAGGTACTAACATAAATCTTTCACAAAAGCAAAGTGGTGTAACACAAACTTTCACAAAGCAGGGGACGCCCACATACCCACGGCCTTTCCATCTGTTCATGTGCTCACGTCAGTGCTGAGCCCACACAGCTTGTCTCATGGTCTGAGAAGGGCATTTCTTTGCCCACATGGAAACTTGAATCCCATTTTTGTACTGGTTGATTTTATACGAAAAATTGCTAAGTTCTGTTCCCTTTGTTTTTCCTTTGTCAGTTCTATGTGGCTTCAAACTAGTCTGGATTTATAACACATTTCAAACCCTGCAGGGAACAAGACAAGAAGGTATGAAATCAGGAATGGGAGTGGGGAAAGAAACAGGAAACCGTTCCCTGCCGCCCAGTGCTGGCGCTCTGCGCCCCGAACCTCCCCCACTTTTCATCTCATTTCACTTCCTTTAGCTTAAGAACGTCTTTTAACGTTTCCTGTAGGGTGGGTCTCCTGGCATAGAACTCTCAGCTTTTGTTCATCTGAAAATTAACTTTTTTAACAGTCTTTGAAAAAATTTTTAAACAATAACAAAAAAAAGGTTACAACTTGCAAGTACAATACAAAAAAACTCTTCCCTGGAACCGTTAACAAATTAGTCTCTAATGCCCCCTCCCTGCCATGGACTGTCAAAATCAGGACATTAACGCAGATCCCTTGCTGCCCCCAGGCCCCCAGGTCCCCAGGCCCCGTTCACGTTCCCCCGTTGGTCCCACTACTAGTGTCCTTTTTAACAAATGACCCAGTGTACAGTCTGTACAGTCCCATCTCTGGTCTCTAGCCTGTGTGACTTTCCCAACATGGACACTTCTGAAGTTCATTAGCATTTGATTTGTAGAGGAGTCTCAGATGGACTTGGCTGTTTCCCCATGATGGGATTCACGTGCGTCTTTGGCAGGGTGGCCCGGGAGGGAGGCTGGGTGCTCACTGCGTCCTGCCACGTGGGTAGGATTTCCGTTTGTTCACTTCTGGGGATGTTCACTTTTCGGGGTATTGATTTTTATTTGTGTGCCGCTGACGCACGCTTAGAGGAGTTTCGGCGTGCAGCCGAGTGACTGGACAGGAGCGTACGTTACGCTGGGCTCGCCACGCGTGTGGCCCCCCCTGTCACCACACGACACTATCGCGGGATCACTGGCCACAGTCCCCGTGGGCCGCACCTTCCATCCCCGGGACGTACTCGCGCCATAACTGCAAGCGGCAGCTCCCGCCCCCTGCCCCCTGTGCGTTTATGGGTCTGATTCTGCTCTTTGTGCGATTATTCACTGGTTTTGTGTTAGATTCCACATACAAGTGAAATCCTGCGGTATTCGTCCTGCTCTGTGTGACTTAGTTCACGGAAAGTGACGCGGTCTCGGGCCACCCGTGTTGTTGCCGATGGCAAGAGCCCATCGTTTCGTATGGCCAAGTGACGCCCCACTGTGTGCGTGCTGGCTCAGTGGTATTTGCCGGGCTTCTCCACAGTCACGTCACTCTCTCTCCCGGTGTAATTAATAAGTATTTGTGATGAGATTTTTATAAACCGTATAAAAACCTCACAGCTCATCAGATTTTCAGTTTACCTGTACGTTCATCTCCGTACGGATTTGTGGTCCTGTTTGACTTACCTCGGTCTGTCTGCCCGCCCCGCCACCCCACCTGGCAGCTCCTGTTACCTTCTCGCGGGTCCCTGCACTTTGGGACGCTTACTGCTTCCCAGCACGTTAGTACCTTCTGGGTTCACCCTGTATGCTTCCCGCCTCGCCCTGGAATCGGCTGCTTCCCCAGGTTTCCGTGCTCCTGTCTTGTGGAGAAAGCTATTCTAAAGCCGTGTGCGGGGAGCTCAGTGTGGTCTCAGTGCTGTCACTGCTCCCAGGCCCTCAGACAACTGGAGATGTGGTTTCTACGTGATACGCCTGCGTGGGAGTTCACACGTAACGTGTGCGTGTGTAGTATCCGTGTGTGCGAGTTTGTATGTAATGCGCGTGCGTGGTACGCCTGTGTGCGAGCGTACATGCAGTCTTGGGCCGCGCAGTCAGACCTCACGGAACGGTCATACCCGCGTCTGAGTGAGTCTACCCCCCCCGCAGCGCCTCCAGAATTGGCTGAGCCTGGACCGGCAGTGAGACAGGGCACCCCCCTGAGCACACAGAAGCTTCTGCCCAGCTTGGTCTCCCTTGCTTCGGGCGGAGAGCAGTTCTTGGGTGGCTGGCTCCTTAGTGACCAGAGGTCCCCATGCTTTTCACGTGAGGGCACAGCATCAACACGTCGAGGGGGAGAGCAGCCCGGCTGGGTCAGGACGAAACCATCTTCCCCAGGAGGAAAGGGTTCAGACCCAGGGTTGGCTTTCGTGCAGAGCTTCCTTGAGCTCCGAGCAGCATCCGGGCACGGCCTGGGGGAGGGGCGGGGGCTCTCCCTGCCTCCCCTGCCGAGATCGGAGCTCCACTGGCCGGGGTGGGGCGGGCGCCTCACTGCCGTGCGCGCTGGCATGAGCTGGGGGAGGGAGAGGGTCTGATCAGGAGCAAGACCGGGTGTTTCTCTGTATCTGGGCCACAGCAGGAGCGTGGGTCGGCTTCATCCCAAGGACACAGGCAGGGGCCACCCTCCCCAGCCAAGGGCAAAGGTCAGACTAAGGTGTAAGATGAAGCATCCGAGTGTGTACCGTACCCTCTGGAACCCAGCCCCACCTGAAGTCCCCACACACAGAACAGTGACAGGCGTTAACGGTTCTCTTTTCCTCCTGCCTCCCTGCCCCGGGACAGACGGTCGACGCTTCCAAAAGCATCGAAGATGTCCACAAGGAAATCCACGCCCTCTGTGTGTACACCATCCAGGCCGCCGCACAGAGGCCGCTGGGGGAGCTGTGGAAGTAGCCATGCAGTGCCCCCTCTGGTCCCGCGGGGCCGAGCCGGGGGCACGTGGACACCCAGACGCCGCGCTCACGGAGCAGGACGCAGAGACAAGCAGCCGCAGGTCAGCCCCCCAGGAGCCGGCGGGGCGTGCCCGGGGCGCCGTGCGGGCAGTGCTGTGCCGCCGCTGTCCTCTGTCCTCTCCTTCACCCCCAAGATACCAGTAAATTACTGTGTTTTGTGCTTTCTTATGGAAATTTAACACACATGCAGGTAGTTTCAGTGAAATGGTAGTCAGTTAAAACTGTCCCGCATTTCTTACAGGCAGTAATAAAAATTCATTTGAAAAGACACCGCAGAAGCTCTCGCTTTCCTTAGCCACCGTGGGCTAGACGGGGAGTCCTTCCTAGCGGGCAGGGGCTGCGTCCCGGGGGCAGGGGGCCTGTCCAGCCTCAACGCTGCCGACGCAGGCTCGGCTGTTCGCTGTGTTTTCAGTCTGCCCCGTTTGAAGCCCCTCGGAGTGCTCTGTTGACTTCTGGGAGAATCCGGAGTGGGAAGCAGTGCAGAGTGCTGGATGGAGGGCAGGCAGGGCTCCCCCCGTCCACTCAGCGGGTCTGGGTCCTCCCGCCTGGAGGGGCAGCTGCCTTCTCCTGTGGCTGGGACGTGATCCCTGCGTGAAGGCCAAGTGGTGACCTGGCCATTCCGGCGGGGCCCGGGCAGAGCCTGCGTGCAGCCACGAGGGCCCGTGCTTGTCTGGTCACAGGCAGCCGGCCCTCGGTCCCGGTCCTTGGGTGGCACCTCAAAAGGGGGCAAAGGACGTGGCAGGTGAGCGTGGCTGGTGGCTGTGGCCTTGAGTGAGGCCACGAGGGGACAGTCGTGGAGACGCAGTTCTGTGTCATCTGCTTACAGAGGGGACTCCAGCAGCTCCTGCGGTCCTGCTGATGGCCGTGCACCCAGACCGGGCAGCACACGTGTGGTCAGGGCCCGAGGACCCGCCACGGAGAGACAGAAGCCATCAGAACTGCACACGGGGTTCGACTAGAGCCCCGGGGTCACCCACAGGGACGGTCCGACAGCACTGTCCGTAACCGCCTTTGCTTCTTCACACAACCGAGGCCACGCACCCTGTGAGGAAAACGCGAGGCAGCCTAAAGTCCTAAGACCCCAAACCAGCCTCTCTGCCTCTCGCAGCCTCGGCGGGGGGCCGAGCCGGGGGCCGTGGGGCCAGAGGTGGAAGGAACGTCCTCGGGAGGAACACCCGGAGCAGAGAGGGCCCCGCAGGTGGGGGGCAGCGGGGCCAAGACGGGCAAAAACGGTCCGACGCTTAAACCCTCTGCAGGAAATACAGCGTGTGTCTTGAGACATCTGGCCAACGAGCCGGGGCTGTGACACGGTCCAGAGCCCCTGGCTCCAGTGGCTTTTGCACGGGCGTGGGCGGAGTAACGGTCCCTGGAGAGGGACCCGCGGGCGTCCTGGAGCCTGGGGACAGAGCACCCGCACAGCGAGCTGGAGAGGCCATCCCGCCTCGTCCGGGAGGCCCGAGACGCAGCCACAGGGTCTCTGGCAGGGAGGCAGGAGCCCTAGTCAGACACTGGTGGCAGCAGGATGGGTCGGAGGGCACTCAAGGTGGAAGGAGGGCCGTGCACCCAGGGAATGTGGGCAGCTTCCGGAAGGGGGAAGAGGGGTAAACCCTGTCCCCTGGAGCCTCCAGGAGGAAACAGCCCTGTAGAGACCTTGACTTGGAGCCCCGGCCTCTGGGATCCCGACAGGAAGGCTGTGGCTTGAAGCCGCTGAGCGTGGAGAATGGTTCCAGCACAAGAAGGTCCCACGGGCGTTTTCTGGAGGCCGCGATGCAGGTGGACTTCCTCAGCTGGGGATCAGCTCAGTGCTTCCCACTTGTGTCTGCCTCGGGCCCCTCGCAGCGGCACCGGAGGCTGGGGGGCACCCCGGGCCTTGCCCGGGTCCTGCGTGTGCCTGCCCGTGGCTAGCAGTCTCAGCCCACCTGGAGGGACGCGGCTTTCACAAAGCAAACTAAGGCTAACACCGCGCTGGGGACGCTCTCTACAAGGCTTCTTGTCGAAGGGGCTACCGTGTGTTCTAAAAGCAAGTTCCCCCGTGGTGTTCACTTCTGCGACCACGAGGCCGCTCGCAGGCTGGGTGGGGCATGGGGTGGGTCTGGGGCCACGAGCAGGCCACAGCCGCCCGCGAGACCCCACCCCGGAGCCCCCGCCCCTGGCAGCAGGAGCCTAGGCAACGTTCCTGCCCCGTCTTCCCACATCCACCTAGAACGTGAGGAGAATTCAAGACACACAGACAACCGAGCGTTTTCTACTGAAACTTATTATTTGCCATTAGGAATTGCAAACTACACTACGGAGAATGAACGACATTCTCTTCAGTAAGCCTTTTCCAAAACACACGAGACAAAGCTCCCTGTGGGTCAGGCCGTCGCCCATGTCCCCAGTTTGTACCAGCTGCAGGGGCTGCCAACACCCCCTGGCCCCTAGCCCGCGGCGCGGCAGCACATTTGTTCCTTCGGAGAAATGCAGCGCTGGGGCAGTGGACACCGGCCAACCTTCCCTGCTCCCCCAACTTGACCTCACGGACGGGGCGCAGGGAACAGAAGGGAAAAAGGAAATCGCTTATGTGGGCAACACATGGGCCGGCAGGACGAGCAGGCCCGGGGCAGACGTGTGCTCCAGCCCCGCCAGCCCGCCCGCCCGCACAAGCAAGGGCTTGGAGGAGGCTGCGAGTGGAGGCGCTCTGGGAGAGGCCATCACCTCCACCCGAGCCCCCCAGAGCCCCTTTACGCTGCCGGTGGGACAGAAGCCAGTCTTCCAGGACGGACGGCAAACCCGGGTGGGAGTGGTGCAGTTTGGGCCTCGAGTACGCGGGCTAACGGCCGCAGGTGCTGACGTCAGTGCTGACAAGGGTCTGGAAACGTCTCTGACTGGTACACAGAGGGATGGGGGCGCCGGGCTCACGCGTCAAGCTGTGGGCTTTATTTACCCTCTGGCCCCAAACCATCCAAAGCCTTGGTGACCGGGAGGAAGGCCCTGGATGGCAGCGTGCCGCGCCCCCTCCCCCCAGGCCTGAGGGCCACAGACCCCTGACCCAGGGGAAGCTGGTGCGACAAGCAAGCGGCAGCACGCGGGGCCCGCAAAGGAGGCGTGAGAAAGGCGCATCCCACTCGGGCTTTACCTGCGGCTCCGGGAGAGCAGGCATGTCCCTGTCCTAGCGAGTCACATGCACGCTCGGTGACATCTTTGGATTTCCACCACGCCCACCACTTCACTACTTTGCTCCCCAAAGCAAGGAGAAACCTTGCCAGAATTCTTTCCATCTGATCCCCCACTGAGGTAGCCCTTGACAAGCTCGCCGGGCTGAGTCCACAGGCACCACCCCGCACACGCCCACCCTGCAGGTCTTCGGAGACTGACTAGGGACACGCCCCACAGAGATGCATGTCCTTGTAACTTGAAACAAGCAAACCCAGAACCGAGCGCCCAGGGGGAAGCAGGGCAGAGGCGAGTGCAGGGCTGGCAGTGTCGCAGGGAGAGCTCTGGGAGGTGTGGAAGGCTCTGCTCTCAGGAGCTCCTGACCGGCTGCACGGGGCTTCCCGCGGGCAGCTCCTCCTCTGTGCCCGGGAGCCTGACGAGCCCTCCAGGCCTGCGCAGCCCTGGGGCTCGCAGGAAGGCCTCCGGGACAGGGCAGTCCTCCGTCTGCGGGCGGAGGCGGCACGGGGCACAGGCATTCAGCGGACGGGCAGGCTGGATGGATGAAATGCGGCGGCGCCAAGCGCCCCGAGGCAGGGCCGGGCTCTCGAAGGTGCCCCCAGGGAGGGCCAGTGGATACCGTCCCCCAACTCCAGGATTTTCAAAGAGACAAGATTTCAAAGTCTTCATCTTCTGAATCAAAGAATCTTTCCAATCGCTCTACGTCAGAAGAGTCTAGAAGAAACAAGACAACACCTCACCAGACGCCTGGCGTGGGGTGTCCACGCTGTGGGGACGAAGAGGCACCGCCCCCCACGCCCTGCATCTGGCCCTCGGTACAGCAGGAGGTGGGGCACTGGCCTCCCGGGCTGTGGGTCTCGGCAGGCCAGGAGCTTCAACTGGTGAGGGGAGGGGCAGGGAAGAGAATCCCACGGGCGCATCTGAAAAGAGAACACGCTTCTTGGCGGAGCCCAGAGGAAAGGGGCAGGGGCTGGGAGGGCAGGGCTTCCCGTCCCAAGAGGGGGTGGCACCCCCTGTACCGTCTGGGAACTGATGGGACATCTGTCCCGAGTCTCCAATGCGGCACCCTGACTCCCTTCTGGTTTCTGTTAGACAGTGGCTCAGTCACCATCCTCCATGATCTTCTCGGAGGGACAGGGACACGGGCCTCATCGTCCCAGAGACAGATGGCTGCATGAACCGTGCTCATGGCCTTCCTTCTGAGTCCCAGTTCTCGTATGCCACACGTTGACTCACTTCAGGGAAACTGAGGGCCTGAGTGAGGGAGGAGGCCCTGGGCCTAGAGCCGCTGAGCAGCAGGACACGGAGCCCACCTGTGGCCTGCCATCCCAGGGCTGGCTCCCGTGCCAGACCTCGCAGAGACACTGGGCTGTCGCTGAGAGCCTAGCACACCCTGGCTTGCAGGGGCCCAGGCGGCCGCGTGAGGAGCACACCCAGCTCTGTGCTTGGGGGCCAGGTTATGGCGCTTGAGGTGAAGGACAAGGCAGCACACAGCCGCTGCCCACTCGGGGCCCCACACAGGCTGTTCGGCAGCACCCCGGTCCCACACACACACCACCAAAGGGTCACATCCTGGGCTCATACAAATCTTAAAGGTCAAAAGCAATTGGCACAGGGCCTGGGGGAAGCAGAGAGATAAGACAGAACATGCACAGACCACACCACACGCGGAACAGCCGTGCCCCCACCCGAGACAAGGCCCTGTGGCCTCCAGACTCACCTAAGGACAGGTTCAGGACGTCGGGACAGGCCAGGTGCGAAGGTTGTTGCTCCACCAGCTCAAACATGGGCAGGGCGCCTCCGAGCAGCGACACCTGTTGGCCGACGCAGCCGTGAGATACAGCGGCGGGGGTACAGCCTAGCGCCCCCCACCCAGGGATCAGCACTGCCCGCGGGGGGAGCCGCACAGGAGGAAGGGGAGGCGGCCTCCATACAACAGGCTCTCTCAGGCCTCTGCCGAGTCGGCGCGTCGTCAGGTCTCTCCGACTGCTCCCACGGAGGGCGGCAAACCAGCAGCCCTAGGGGCAACTCCGCGTGCTGCCTCCGCTCAAGGTCATGGCCACAACACTGACGAACCTGAAACCACCCCCCCACCCCGCCCGAAGGCTCACGAGCAAGGTCTGTGCCTGTGTTCTCTACACACGACGAGGTCAATGCCATAAGCCATAGTGCAAGCTGTGCGCAGGGTGCCAAGGGAGGCGGGACCCCAAACTGGAGACCCCAAGACGGCCCAGCCCCAACTCCCACCCCACGCGCGGGGACCCTCCACCCACCTGTCTGACTTGTCGGCACCAGTCATCAAAGTCGTCCTCAGTCTTACAGAAGAACCCCTGGAACAGAAATGACCGTGAGCGACACACGGCAAGGCGCAAGAACAGGTCACACTCCGGTGCGGCGTGCAGTGCGAGGTGGCCTGGAGAGAGGCCAGGGTCTCCGCTCGCCTCTGGGGGCTGGGTTCCCGGCTCGACCCTCCGCCTTCTGCCCTGACCGACCAGGCCTTGGAGGCCATGTGCAGGTTAATGGCCTGGCCAGTGGCACAGGCCACCAGGACCCACAGTGCACGGCACAACTCAAAGGTGGGCCTCCCACCCAGTGGCACCTAGCTGCAGGGAGCCCTGGGTCCCGCGGAGAGTCAGTGGCGATGGCACGCTCCTAGAGCCATCCCCACGAAGCTCCGACGCCTGGACACGTTACTAGATGCTCCAGGCACCGCCAGGACTACAGGCATGACCACGGAATGGGCGCCCGCTCTCACTGCGAAGACCATCCACACTGCCCCAGGCTCTGGCGAAAGGACACGGGCAACGTTCCGCTGGAAGACGGGAAGCTGGTTTCTCCTGAGGAGACCGCGCACAGCCCTCTTCTCTCAGGTGAGGACGGGGTCACGCCTCTCCGCCCCCCGTCTGCGCGCCTGCGCGCCTGCTGCGGACAGCACTGCGGTCCAGGCTGCTCTGTGTCTACACGAGCACCAGCCCCAGTCCCCTATGGAGACGCGTTTACTGCCACAGCGTGCCTCACGCTTGCTGGACGGGGACTCAACCCTCCAACTCCGGCCACGCCCCGCCACCCTCGGGCAGCTTCCCCGGCCACCAACCTCAGGACGCACTAAGACCCACAGACCGCGCGTCCAGAGAGGTCTGTTTCAGGACCGGGATCTGCCTGTTGTCTGTGACTCAGTTGATCGCTCCCTGAGGGACACCTTTCCTTCCAGATGTTTCTGACCCCCCCATCCCCATCAAATGCATTTTGAGAATACATAGGTTTACGTAAATCACTGCCTAAAATTCCACCTTGTAATCAGAGCAAAGAAGCTCATTCTTAGCAATCATCTCCCAGATCCCTGAAGTCAAAAAACTGAAAGTCAAACCCAAAACCCCAAAAAGGTGGTGCAAAGCAGGGAGTGGGGCAGACTACCACTATGTTCAAGGGGGCCGCTCGCTGTGAGGGCCATGAGGACCACATGGGCTAGGGCCCCCGGTGGGCGTAAGTAGCTAACAGACATTGTTAACCCTTTTGTGCCCTAGGCACTCGAAACCACGTGAATGTGATACCTACTCCAAAACACTGGGGGAAAAAAAAATATCCTAAAAATCAGAGACCCTTCCCTTCCATTCCAGAACAGCAGGACTGAGCACAGACCGACTCAGAACACCTGCCCACTAGCTCACATGGTCAGAGGAGGAGGCAGGACGCAGTGGGGGACGCACCACGGCAATGGACGGGTCGAGCTCCCCGATGCTCATCCTGCTCGGCGGGTGCCGGCAGTGGAAGCTCTCGTCCGGGATGAAGCAGCTGTCGGTGAACTCCACCGCTGGCTGCGTCGTGTGAGGGTCCAGGTAGATGAGCTCTTCACCTGGGGAAGACGACGGGGTACTCAGCGGAAAGGGAGCAGACCGGGGTCCCACTCAGACGCGCCACACAGAAATCCACTTAGCTGGACACGCCAGGCTGGGGTGGGAACCCAACTGCTGGGGAGAAGAGGGTCCACAGGAGGCTGGCACCAGCCAGGTGGGGACACTGACCCCTCGCGGGAGCATGCTGCTTTTTAACTGGACACCCTGGGTCAAGCCAACATCCTAAGGATGTTTAGGCTGCTCTGCAGAGGACTCCCTCTCCCTCAGCTTCTGGCTGACCTCACATGCCCGCAGAACCACCACTCACCAACGTAGCCGATGAAGTAGTGGGCACTGTTGGGCTTCCCTCCAATCACTCCCAGGGACTGGGGCATCATGAAGCAGCGCTGCAGGACAGAGGGCAAGGGAGGGCAGCTGAGCAGGCCACCGGACCATGAGTCTGTGTGCTGCGGGAAGCCAACCCCAGGGCCCGACAGGGTGACAGGGAAAGGAGAGTGGGAAGACGTGGTCCCCAAGAGCTTAGTCAGGACGAGCAGAGACCGCAGGGTGAGCACAGAGGCCAGTGGGAGAGGCGGTCAGGACTGCCCGGAGGCGGGCAGGTGGGGGCCAGGAGTCCACAGGGGGCCAGAGGGCAGAAGGGGCCGACATGGCGACAACAAGCAGCAGAATCTCTCCCCCCTGCTGGTCAGCGAGAAGACCCACCTTCAGGGTCTCCACGTAGGCCTCGTTGATGTCCGTGAGCCCCAGGCGCAGGGGGATGAGAAGCACCAGGGGTCTCCACGGTGCCGGCCTATTGGTGAGCTCAGCTCCCGCAGGGAAGCCGTTACAGTGCCGGCTGGAGTCCGGGGGGAGCGCGGCGGCCCCCGCACACGGAAGGCTGCCTCTGCACAACCTTCCTGAAAAAGAGACATGCTTTCAAGGGCTGAACAGCAGCAGACAGAAGTTTACCCAAAAGGAACAAGTACATCATTACTCAGTCATAGGGAACAAGTATAAAAAAAGTCAAGCGCTTAACACAATCCGAACCTGGAAAATAAGTCCTGCCGCCCACAGAGAAAAAAAAAAGAACCAATCGTTTTCTACGCATGTCCAATTTAAAATTGTTGTCATGAAATGAAGTCTCAAGTGAAACAAAGCAAACAGTGCCGTGCGTCCCGGGCAGCCGCCACGCTGGTGGGCACACACACTGGCCCCACACCAAGGACGCCATCGGGAAACAGCCTTGCTCCTCCCTTGTCAACGTGGAAACAACTTGTTTCTTCTAAGCGCACTGCTAATCCTTCATCAGTGTGCTACCGAGGAGGCTGGTGGTGGGGACAGGGATGCTCCAGGGGCCCCAGCCCAGCAGGCGCCCAGACCATGGTTTCTGAACACCTTTCCCCGCTAAATGGAACCAGGGCTCCTCAGAGAAACCGCTGATCCCTGGCCGGGGGCAGAGAAGACAAGGTGGGCCACCACCTTGCCAGCCATTAAACCCAAAGGGAAGGATGGTTACAGAAGCCACCATTCCAGGCAAAAATCCTCAACACGCATTCGGTATCACCCCTGGATCCCCGTTAATCATAGGGAAGCAGGGACACGGCCCGAGCAGGTGACCCGAGGAAGTGTTACTGATGGGCCTCCGGCTGTGGTGCTGAGGACACAGCCACCAGGTACCGCCAAGAGGTTTCCCCCGATCTAATCTTGATGAAGCAAATACATCAAGTGTGGGGCACTGCACCAAACTGGCCTGGGTTCTTCAAAATGTGCCATGAAAAAGCAGGAAAATAAACCAAGGAGAACTTTCCAGATCAGAGGAGATTGCACAGGTGTGGGAACCACATACAACCCTGGCCCCTCGACCACGGGCCAGGGCGGGCCAGGGCGGCCAAGCAGCAGGAAAGCAGGTGAGCTGATGGCCGACAACGGGACGCAGGAGGGAGGAGGACGGCTGCATGAACACGGGACTGGAATTCCTCAAAATGAAGAACGGGGGTGGGGGGGCTGCTTGCTGACCGCACCCCTCCCACTAGCACAGACCCTCACATGGATCGGCTCGAGAAATGACGGAAGCAGGGCCTGTCACGCAGCACTTCAGGGACTCCCCGAGGCTGCATGTGGCCTGTGATATGGCAAACGTCCAGGCACCCACGGGTCCCCCGGTCACGCTCCCTTCACATCCCCACCATGCGTGAGCTCGCTCCGAGCTCATCCGTGACAAGAGCTCCACACCGCACGCCACCTCCTCAGCACGCTGCCCCGGCCCCACCAGCACCTGCGGCGGCAGGAAGACGAGACGGCGGACCCGTCTCTCTTCAACGGCAGCGGACCCGACAGAAGCCGGGCCAGCGGACCGCCTCTCTTCAACAGCAGCCTATCACCACCACCACTTTCCTCCGGACGCTTCCAAGTGTCCGTCTCTGCAGTTTGGAAGTGTCACTAGGAACACGCGTATTTGAAGAACCCCTGGTTAAAAAACTGGGAGGTGCTCAGCTGTGAAAATTCCGGCTCGGGCACAGGGAGGCTGGCTGCCCGTCCCTTCGCGGTCACCCCATCCTCACCTCCTGGAAGTTCCAACCACAGGCACCTCTGCGTTATTCCTGCCGCCAGGGTCTTTCTGTGGCATACCTTCGTGTGCACTGTCTCGCTGTCTTCTTCGACCTGTGAGTCCTCCCCAGATGCAGTGCCTTCCCCGTGTCTCACAAAGCTCCAAATTCATCCAGGGCAAGCCCTGGCGGAGGCTGCTCTGGGGGTCCTGGCTGGTCCCCCAAAGAGGGCGGCACATCTCCACCAGCAAGGCTCCCCCACAGAGTACTCTCCCCCCGAAATGGACAGGAAGGCAGAAAGCTGGTGCTTTTGCCAGGGAGCAGCTCTGGAGACCCAGACAGCCCCGGCTTGGCCAGTACTGGTTCTCCATTTGCGCTGGTGAACTGGAGCTTTCTCTCCCACACCTGTGACCTGGGGCAGCCGCGACTACAGAAGTGGCTCTTTGCCTGCGGCCTTGGTGTCCCCTCTAACCCCCTGGGGCCCCTAAAGCCAAAAGCAGTTATAGCACAGCCATTCAGACTCCCCACCATCTACCACTCACCTCACTAAACTGTGCACAGGACCCCAGGCACAATTTTTGGTCCCAGCGTCCTTACTGGTGGTGTACTGATGCTCTTCTTCCTAAGCTGTCCCCGTGAAGAGCACGCATCACTTCTGACTCAGGAGGGGAGAACCCCAGGGCCCTGACCATGGCTGGGCGGCCACACACACCCCACCTGGGAGCCTGTTAAATCTGCAGGCCCAGGTCCTCCCCAGAACAGACCCACATCCTCCTCAGACAAGCCCCAAGTCCGCGCCTCATCTCCAGCAGTGCTGCTATGGATGACCTGAGACCCCGAGAGCCAGGGGCCAGCGTCCGGACACATGGCCCGGGTCTCCTCCAGGCCCCAACCAGCACCTCCCCCCCTGCCCCCCCCCCCCCCCAAAATGCAGGCTCTGGAAAGCAGCCTGTCCCTCACTCCTTCCTGGCACCACACCGGTGAGCCAGCCTCGGAGGACAGGCTGGGCAGGTGACTGGGTCGACCCTGAGGGCGGTGGTTTCCCCAACACTGGGGGAAAAGGGAAACGGACATGCACTGGGAAATGAGCAGCCAGACAGCAGAAGGCTGTAACGTCCCTGACGGAAGACATGCTCTGGCAACGTGGAAGGGCTGCTCAGAAAGACAAACACCAGGGGGAGCGGCATCTCCACATCAGTAGGAATGGTTTCCAAGTGGTTTTCTCCCCCTATCTCTGTATGTTTCCAGTTTCCCATGTTTCGCAAAAATTTCAAGAAATAAAACGTGAGGAGAAGGCAGAAGGGAAAAACACGCCTCCTTGAGTGCAAGTCCCTAGTTTGTCAGCTCTTAGGGGCAAAGGGTCAGGGAACAGGATCAGCGGGCAGGGAGGGCTGGCTGGCTCCCCCAACTCTGCGAGGTCACGATCCCCAGGCTGAAGAAGGGAAGGGCCGGGCAGCAGCGAGGAGCAACACCACCGTGGTGCCCGTGCCTGCAGTCATGACACGAGGCCCACCTCCGACCGTCCAGGTAAACCCCAGATCAGCACGCTCAAAGGGCTCTTTCTTAGGTAAAATTCAAAGCAAGGCAGCAGCAAATATGTGGAACTTCAATAAAACTGGAGTGGAGGGAGCTCTGGCAAATTCTTTGGGGAAAAGGTATTCCTAAGCAAAAACCTAAGACATTAAATAGAGTTTTGTCAGCTTGGTTGTGTAACAGGATGTAAACTCCAAATTCAAAACTCACTCACTAGAGGCCATTTGCCAAACCGAGCCATCATTTTCCTCCTGGACTAAAACGTCAGCATGCCTGGACTCCTTCAGGTTTCCGGTGGATCCTTCCAGAAAGAGGAACAGAGCTACGCTCCCCTTTCCTGTTACACCTTGGCTAGAAAGCTGCTCTTGCCTGTCCTCAAAGAGCATGATGCCCGTGAGGGGCTGACCCAGGACACCTGAACAAGTTCTTGCAACAAGGACACAGAGCAAGTCGGGGTACAAGGTAGCCCAGCTCTGCGGAGAGTCTGGGTCCTTCCCCTTGGCCTGTTGTACACGGGATGCAAACAAGGGATCCCCAACCTGCACGCCAGTCGAGGCCCGCCCGTGGGCCAGGGAGCCGCGCCCTGAGTCCCGCCAGCTACAACCCCCGCACTCTCAAATTCACTTACTGATGTCCTCCATCACCACCGTGTTGTCCATTGCTATGTGGACTGCCAAGGCGCTCCAGGTGTCGAAGACAGCCAGTTTCCTAACGGAAAGGGGGAGGACACACCAGTAAGTCTTCACAGTTCAAAGACATTTCACTTCCGCGGGACAAGCAAAGGAAACAGCAACGAACGCTCCAGCAGTCTTGGCAGATGAGAAAGATCACGGCTGAGACATTCATGGCCACAGACGGGAGTAAAGCTGAGGCTGCCGCCTGCTTCTTCCCACCCGGGCCCAGTGCCCCTTCCATTAACCCCAGCTGCCACGTGGGGACAGGGTCCCCGCACAGAAGCCCTGCCCGTGGGGCGTTCTGTCCTGGGAAAGGGAGCACAGACCCTGTCTCAGCTATACCACGGGTTCTCCCAACTCAGGAAGGCCCAGCACCCCCATTCCCCATGGTACCTTCACACTCTGCTCCACCTCACCCCAAAAGTGATGCACTGACAAGCAGTTTGAGTCCCCACAGAGAAACCTGTGGCTTAACAACCCCAAGAACCCTGGTCAAAGCCCCGAGCCTCTGAAAGACAAGCCAACTACAACAAAAGGTCTAGTGGGAGAACCTGGTCCGTCTGGGGACACACGTGGAGGGCGCGGGGCATCAGGGCAACCACACCAAGCCCCTCCCCACGGGAAGGCCAAAGTGGCGGAGGAACACGTGCAACACTCCACGGGCTGCCTCTCTCTCACCTGCAGAGGGCCAGGTATGGGGCTGAAACCCACTGACACACAGACAAAGCAGCCCCCCCAAGACGCTGACATTCCAGACACGAGGCAGGCAAAAAAGAAGTAACCGTGGGTAGTGAGCACGATGGAGACCAACAGAGCAGTAACTACAGGCACGACCAGTGCAGGTGCAGGAGGCCTTGATGCTGGGGGAAGGCTGGTGCAGGTGCAGAGGCCCGGGGTGGGTGTGTGCAAGGGGCACGCCGTGGAGACAGGCCGCGGAAGGTAGGCAGAGCCGTGCCTACACCTGCAGCTTTCCCTGGAGTCAGCTAGGACCCCCAGGACGGTTCCAGTAGAGAAGGGGCAGACGGCCGACCTGTATTTTACGAGGATGACACCTCTTGCTATTTTATTTTTCTTTCTTTCTTTTTTTTTTTTAAGATTTACTGATTTAGGGGCACAGTCACTTAAGCGCCTGACTTTGGCTCAGGTCATGATCTCAGGCTCCTGGGACTAAGCCCCACGGTGAGCTCCGCACTCAGTGGGAAGCCTGCTTCTCTCGCTCCCTCTGCACACTGCCCCCTGCCCCGCCACCTGTACACGCTCTCTCTCTCAAATACTCTTTAAAAAAATTCACTGATTTACTTTAGAGAGTGTGTGCACAAGTGCAGCAGTGGGGAAAGAATCTCAAGCAGACCCCCCACTGAGCACGGAGCCCGATGCTGGGGGGGGGGGGGCCTTGATCCCACGACCCTGAGAGATCATGACCTGAGCCAAAATCAAGAGCCGGATGCTTAACTGATGGAGCCACCCAGGCGCCCCAATGCCTATCCGTATTTTAAAAGAGCCCTGAGGATGTCAAAGAAAAAAGGAAGACCAACGAGGAGGCAGAACGTGGGGCTTGGACCGGGGTGAGGACAGGGAGGCAGTGAGCACAGGTCAGTCTGGATGCGTCTGGATGGGGTGTGTTCAGAAAAGGAACCTAGCACGACCCCAGTTTCTGGCCTGAGTTCCTGGAAGGGCAGCATTCCCTGTAGAAGGAACAGGCCGAGGGTGGGGAGAAGGGTCAGCTGTGGCTTCGGCTGGGAGGCTGACATGCCCCTCAGACATCTAAGGGGTGCTGCTGAGGAAGTATCCGGACCTCAGTCTGGGGTCTGGGCACAAACCAGCACTGGGGGTGTGACACGGGGAGCTGTGCCATGCAGACCACAGCTCACACTGGTGCTGGCAGAAAAGAGAAGCAGCCGAAGGCCAAGCCAGCACCACAGTGCTCACTGACGGGGGAGGGAGCCCCCCGTGGAGCCATCGACCACCAACAGGGACCAGAGGGCAGGACTGTGTGGCCCAGGGCTTCCAAGACAGAACACCTGCATCAGGAGCCACCTGCTGGACAACTGAGTAAACAGAAGACCGAAACCGGGCGCTGGGATATGGGACTAGGTGGACAGCAACCTCGAAGGAGCTGCTTCACAGCAGAAGTGGGGTAAGTGAGAACCCGCAGCAGACCACGCCGGCAGAACCCACGTGCAGGCACACACAGACCACACACACAGGCCATGCAGACGACTCATGCAGGCCGCACACGTACTACATGCGCACACCACGCACTGACCATGCAGGGAGACAGACCATGCAGAAAGGCTGCTTCCAATGCATGCAGGGCTGGACCCCAGGGTTCTAAGGGGCATGTGGTAGGGGCTCGGCAGAGTAAATGGGGGCGCTGGGTGAGGGGACAGAGAGACAGTGGGCAGGCTTGGGGATCAGCTAGAAGGTGGGTGGAGGATCCCCGAGAACCTGCCAAGAGCAGCCAGGTGGAGAGGGCAGCCCTTTACTGCAACAAGGAGAAGCGGGCTGCGGGATGAGGGGGGAGAAGGGCGGGTTCAGACACCCCAAGGAAGGAGCCTGGGCAACAGGGAGCAGGGAGCAGATGCACGAGTCTGGATGTGGAGGGAAAGCCGCAGCTGCGGACGCAGGGTCCAAGGCAGGGAGAAGTGGGGTCAGCACAGAAGCAGAGGCAGAGGCCCACGGCACACCCGCACTGCTGTCACTCCACAACAGTTTCAACCTCCCAGACCATCAGAAAAGCACCCTAGTGGATAGGCCCACGTGACAGACACAGAGAGGCCCCATCCAGTGGGCGCCATCTGGATGAAGACACTCATCCCTCAGGAAACATAAATTCCACACAGGAGCGCACTGGGTGTGGCCGCCTCTGAGGACTCTCAGGAGGGCCGCGAGGGGGAGAGTAAAAGGCCCCTCATCTCCTTCAGCAACCAAGACTCAGGAGAGTCTGAACCCACAGGTCATGCTCACGCTACCCCGAGGAAATGGGAGGCATGGGGCTTGGCACATACTTGAGCACCTGGGCAACGGTGTTGGGCCCGTACCACTGGCCGATGGACTTGCCCTCGCCAACTCCCATTTGTGCTGCAGGAAACAGATGCGATTAGTGACGTGAGCCCCCCTCCCCCACCCCGCCCATCCCCCAGAAGAGGCCCATCCTGGCAGCAGCACGTGGTAGCAGGAACACTCCACAGGAAGCCTGGACAGGCACACCCACCCCTGCCTCCAGCAGGAGCTCCTGAGAGACCCCAGGACTCCTCCTCCAAGAGGGACAGAGGCTGCCTCAAGGTTTGTCCCTCACTACGAGCCAGGGCCCTAGCCCTTCAAGAAGGAGCAAGATGGAGGAAATCAAAGGACTCAAAGCTATACCTTTACTTCCTTCTGTAGTTGAGAACGAGACGCTCGAAACAAAGGAGCATTTAGACTTAGTGATGGGTGCAGAGAGGGATGAACCCTGGAGACGGCATCCCACCCGCACAGCCGCCACGACGAGCAGCTCACACACCGCTGCGGCCACACGGCCCCCCGCGCCACAGCAAGGCCCCGGGTCCAAGCTGGCCTGGCCCACGACAGCAGCCCCGGGTGGCTACAGGCCGGAGGGACCTACAGCCTCACGCCTCGCACACCCGATACCAGAGAAGTGCTCCGGGGGAAACCCAACGACTCGGCCTGCTCTAAGCCGTGGAGACTGGCTCACTCGGCAATCTCCCACCTATCTGGTGAATGGAGTAGTAACTGTCCTTTCTGTCGATGAAAGCGTTGAGGACATTGAAGTAGCTATCCGGCTGCCTCTTCCGCTGTGTCCACCTCCAGTCTATTGGAGAGATGCAGAAGTTCAATTTTACCAAAAGAGGAGGAAGAAGCCTTTACATTTATGAAACACTCAAGCCACAGATGATACCCTTTCTTGAACCTTTCCCAAGTTAAAAGCCAAATCCTCCAGGATTCCAAATTCACATATGCTAACCCACCAAAACAAATCCCTGTAGGACAGAAAATGGTTTCAGTGATGTAACGATAATTTCTAAAAGACAAACGTTCATCAATATTCTTTAAAGTCACTTTTTTAAATCAACGATTATCAGTGGGTCCACCACTCAAGAAAACCCTGGATCCCAGTCTGTGTGCTTTGGGTAACCTAACCCCACAGTCCTGTTTGCTTCCTAAAAACGCTGTCGTCCCCGGTGCCGTGACTTACCTCGGCCTAAATGGCGGCACACCAGGGCCTGGGCAAAGATCATCTGTCCACACCGCAGCATGCAGCCCCAGCCCGTGTCCGAGGTGGGGCCGGTGCCCCCTGTCATGGCGGACAAAGAGAGAGGGCTCGCCGTCAGATGGCCCAGCAGGTCAGGAGTCCACTGGCAGGAGGCCTTGGCCCTACCACACTTGGGTCAGCCCTACACCGCGTCAGCTCCATCTCAGGTGACAGGCCATTTAGAACCTGGTCATGCCAAGGGCACATTTACTGGGCAATGATACGTCCTGCCAACCCCTCGAAATGGGCAAAATATGTGAACAAGTCAGTCACAGAGAATTAAGAATGTCTGGAAAACATACGTAAAGACACTAAGTCTCATGAGTAATCTAGGAAACTCCAAGTCAAATAAGGAGGACCTCTCTCCAAGCACCAGAAGGGCAAAGATGCAGTTGATGGGAGAGTGGTCATGCATGCAGGAGGGCAGGAACATAACCCAGGGGTGGTCAGCAACAACCCTCAGCACTTAAAGTACACTTGCTCCGGGGGCCCCTCCATGGCACGCCCACTGCCAGGGCACAAAAGGATGCCGACACTGGGCACCACAGTTCTGCGTGCAGTCCGAGACGGGCCCCAGCATGACAGGAGAAGCCCCGACCATCCTAAGTACCGGCAAGGCGAGAGGCATGAGGTGGTGGCGAAGCAGAGACGCCAGGGCCAGCCCAGCAAGCTGCAGCCCTGGCTGGCTCCACCATTTCCCTGCAGCATCACCTCGAAGCCTGGGGCGGCCCCTCCCACAAATGTGGGTGGACAAAGCCTCGAGGAGCAGAGTGGGGTTGGGGGGGTAGACAAAGAGCAGTGCTCGGGACGTGTGGCAACAACTCCCGTACGAACTAGTCATCTCTCCGTGGCTAGGGAAGGAAAGACCACGCTGGCCCTTAGCGGCAGGCACCGTGCTCCTCAGTGACTTTACCAAATAATACAAGGCTCCTCTCAGCCTGTCGCTGCTCTGTGAGTCCAGACAGAGACCGCAGGAGAGTGGTGGTCCCCCAGCACTGCCCAGGCTTGCCCCGTCCTCAGGGCTGAGCAGAGCACGGGTGGCACAAAGGACATCCCGGAGCACAGCGGACAAATCCCATCATGTGGTGGCCTGTGGTGGCACTGGCCTGGTCTCCCTGCCCCGCGGCACTCCTGAGTGTCAAGCCCTATGGCTGTGCGCATCCAGCTCACTTCCAGAAGACACAGGCGACTGCATCTTGGTGAGAGGCCTGACAGAGACCCGCCACCTGGGAGCCGCAGCCTCCTGTTGCCGACCCTCTGGTCTCAGGTTCTCCAACCAGCAAAGGCAAGGCCAAGAGCTGGGGCCCCTCCAGTGTCCACCTCCAGGGTCACGACGATGGAGAGCCACTTTGAATGGGGCATACGTTAGTGCTAAGACATGGCACATCCACCTTGCCTTTCAGCTCTCCCCACTACTAAGTGCGGGACATGAGAGAAAAGGTGATAGACACAGAGCAACGGCCTCCAAACATCCTGGGCCTACAGTCCGAAGCACACTGTGACAACCGTGACCCAGGACACCCTTCCGACGTACAAACTGAAGCCTCCTGAAGCCATACGCTGCCTCACTGTGGAAACACACAACTTCACACTCCATTCTGCTCTATGCTTTTAAATGCTGCTTATAACTCATTATCCTGATTTTAGATCCCAGTAAGAAACCAGGACCAGCAGTTGGAAAATCCCTGCCCTCAGGAGAGTCAGGAGTCCTGAATTTGGACCCTAACTTCAGCACGCTAGGCGCAAGACCTCGGCCGGCTTAAGGTCACCAGGGCTGCCGTGAGGTCTGGGATGAAGTGACCAGCACCCAGCAAACCACCCAAGTTGTCCTCCTTATGAAGGCCTGTATCTACCACCGTGTGTTGTAACCGACGGCGTACTTACCAATGGCTGGGAAGTTTTTCCTGTATGTAAACCAAAGTCTGGACGCCACATCGGACAAGATCTCATCCTTTTCTAGGGAGTGTTTAAAAGAAGAAAACACACACAACCTTAACTTCGTAGATCGTATGTTACAGAAAGTTAACAGATAACTATCATTACCACAACATGCTTTTCATAGACTGAGCCCTGAGAGCACAGCAGGCTCTGACATGGCTAATACCTGTGAAAATGCTGTATTTTCTACCCAGTATCCACACAGGCTCTGAGGTCTCCGGGAAATCTTCAAACTCAGCAAATCGAAGAGTGTCGTAGGTCAGAGTAGCTATTGAAACCAAACACACATTGATCCCATTTTTATAATTTCATAAAACAACATGAAAGATCATTTCCAGCGTTTCCGCGTAAAGAGCTCTGTGTAATTCTGCGTCTCGTCAGGGCTGTGACAACCACCAAAGCCAAAGCAACCGCAAGCAACGGGCCAGCGGCTCCTGAGTCTCGCCTTCCGGCAGACCCGAGAGTGAGGCCGGCAGCACCAGGCCCAGGGCGAGGAAGTACCTGACCTCAGGACTGGTTTTAGACTTACACCCAGAGGACAAAAGTCATCCTTGCATCTGTGTGTGTAAGCGAGGCCACACACTGAGTAGAAGGTGGAGTCAGTGTCCCCTAGGAGCCGGTGTCCAGAGGCTGAGGAGAAGGCAGGTACTTCACGGGCGAGAAACACAAGCTCGGGGACGATGACGACCAGCCGTGGAGGGGCAGGTACTATTCCTGGGTGGGACACAAACCCCCAGAAACAGACAGACCCTTCTGCAAAACTCCCCGAGGCTCTTGCAGCTGTTTTCACTTCAAGAGGCTCCCGGAAGAGCGCGGCCACCAGCTCCCACCTCCTAAGAAGGTCGCTGTGTATGCAGCTAACAAGACCTGAGCGCCATTTTATTCTGTGTTGCTTCAATTAAGAAACTAGAGAGGCCCAGTGTCCCTCTCTGTGTCTGGAAGCCGGCTGAGGAAACCCTCTGTACACAGTTCCCAGATTCAGCAGAGCAAGACTGACACCCGCAAGGCAAGGGGCAGTGTATCCCGGGTCCCCCAACTCTTCAGCTGCTCCTCAGAGAACCCTAAACACACAGTTCTCATCTGCTGCCTCGCAAGCCTCAATGGTACCTAGTCACTCGTACTCTTCACCCGCAACTGCCCAAGATAACTTTGGAAAATCTATTATAATCGTTTCTTCCACATCTGAATTTACTTTTTGATGACAGCTCCACCTTTGGGCAACAATGACGTATTAATTTTTAAAAACCCAAAGACTACAAAAATATTATTTAAAAAATCTTCTGCAGCTTCACACCCAGCAAGGAATCTCTTTCCAGAAGTCTCTGCGTAGATCCATAAAGGAAACCATACCACACCTGTGATTTCCTCGTCTCTAGTCTCTCAACGGTGATAGTCCACACAGACAGAGAGCTCTAGCAAATGTCTGACGGTCTCACAGCACCCCGTCCAGGCCATCGGTAACTCCTGCACCCCATCGAGGTGCTCTTAACATACCCTGCGGAGCATCCCTGCGTGTCCCTCTGTGCTGTGCACAATCCCTTGGGGATGCTGGGGGTCCAGTGCTGGCTCTGGTGCCTGGCAGTGGAGGTTCAAATCCTCGCTCAAGTACCCCCAGGTTGTAGGTGCTTTGGGCCCCTTGAGCCCTCAGTGTAAAAATTTCCTTACTCATAAAATGGGGGAAAATTAATAGGATGCCCTCACAGTGCAGCTGCAAAGTGTCCATGAACCCCTTCCCACGAGGTGCGCACACACAAGCTGGCAGACAGAAGGGTGCCAAGGTCAGCCAGTGTCATTAATACCGAGGACGCAGAACTGCAGGCTCAAAGGCATACGATTTTACTACACCCAAAAGGCTAAACTGGATGCGCAGCTAATTCCCAGGCTCAGGGTTGGGAAAGCAATGCTCCATGAACAGAGAAATCCACAGCACCCGAAGACCCTGTGTTCGCTACTTCAAGAATTCTCCGGCTGTCAGGAACCCAGACCCAGCTCCGCCTTTTCTTCTTTCCACCAGAAACCTGACAGCGTCAGGGCAGTCCCAGTGCTTCCAGAACAAGCTGTGCTTCCCAGAGCGCCTGAGCCGATGGCGGGCACAGGGGGCCCTCACCCGCGGAGCTTCATGCAGGGGGTCTGCTCAATGTGTCCGACTTGCTGGTGCTTCCACAACGCCAACCAAGCTGCTCTACGCTTACAGAGTCCAGGTTGATCTCCCCCTCTTTTCTACCAAGACGACTTGTTTATGCACGTGATTATCAAAGCTACGCTGGAGTGAGCTCAAGTTCCACCTTCTCGAGGAGCTGCACACGGTGTTTGTTACTTCTCTATTGTTAAGGAAGCCCGGGCTTTAACTGATATGTAGATTAAAACCCAAACATTTACTCGCAAAGAGAAAGGATGCAAACAACCCGACTGCACTGCAGGACATTAACTGTCCTCCTGCCCTACTGATGCCCAGGACTCTTTGAACACCAGAGCCATGAACAAACGATGCAGAGATAGCTAACAATCCTGGAGGGCTACTGAGTGCTGTGGGCGAGCATCTCGCGTGCGCTTGGTGCCAGAGGGGTGCGGCACCTGTCAAAGGACCACAACCCTGTTATCAAAGCTGCGGCACCTTTGAAGTAGACAGGTTTTCATCACTGAGGTGGCAAAATGCAAAACACGCGTACTTCCTAGGTTTACTAGCAAACTTTACAGGCAACCAAGCCAACTTCAGAGGGAAAGGAGTAAAAGGTGTTCTATTAACTTAACATTTTATCACCCAATTTCCTAAGACAGCTAACCAAATTATGGGTTGTGTGGCCTCAGATTCTTTACTGCCTCGGCCAAAACCAAGCAAGGAGACAGACACACCCGAAGGGAATGAACTACCAGGAAGTGACCCCAGCTCTTGCCAGATGAGCAGGAGCCTCGAACTGAGGGTGCACATTTATCATCTGCAGGCTCCCTAAGGAGTGCTCCCACGCCCCTGTGTCCCCCATGCCCCTCACATCACTGCTCCTCTGCCTCTGCCCCTCCAGCTGACTGTGCATGCGAGCCGCTCCCCCTGAATCCTGCTCCTGCTGGATGCAGGTCACATGTGCCTCTGGAACTGGCTGCAGACACAGCTCCCCCATGGCATGGCAGCTTCCTCAGACAGGGACCGTGTTCGTGTCGGTGCTGGGGAACACTGCGCAAGGAGTGTGTGTCCATGACGCCTGCTGAACACAGTCCCCACTGTGGGCAGCCCGAAGTCTGGCCCTCACTTGGTGGTGACCTTACTGTGCCTCAGTTTCTCACTGGTGAGGCAGGAGCAGCTGTGTCTCCCTCAGGGACGGTGTGAGGAAACGTGCAAAGCTTTGCCCCATGCTGGGCAACAGGAAACACGTTTCGGGGTGGGTCCCCTGGGAGTCACTGGGACGGGTAAGTTGGTGATGCCACAGTGTGCAATGAAGGCCAGTCTCCACGTGCTGTAACAGGTGTGGCACTCAGTGCGACAGACACAGGAAACTCACCCAAATATGTGATCTACCTCACTAAAGCTGAATGTAAGCAACAAGCTTTCCTCACAAGACTGGGGTTTAGGGAGCAGAAGCCAGCCATCCGAGACACTTCACAGGCTAGTTCAATGTCCTGAGGCTTCTGCCCTGGAAAATGAGCATAGAGTCCCATGGACCCTCAGCACTTCCAACCAGGAAAGCAAGTGAAGGGCTTCTCGTCCCCATTTAGCCAGCAGAGTCTTGACTGACCGTCGGCGGCTCTGCCCCGCCCCGCCTGCAGCAGAGGACACCGACACCTGGAATAAATGTCATAGCCTGGGTGCCCTCACGGCTCCCTCGGACAGAGGCATGCTCACTTAGCACAGGCAGACCACCAAGCTCCCGGACGTTCCGGACCTCACTCTCTGATAGTACTTTCGAAAATACCATTCATTCCTCACGTTCAACTTTCTCATCTCTACAAAGATTTGTTTTTTGGAGACAGAGAGCCCACTTGCCAGCTGTAGGACGCAAGGCCCTGGTCCCCGGGCCACGAGGCGGGACACAGCTGCTGGCTCTGCCCCAGGGGGCAGGAACGCAAGGCCCGGGCCAGGTTCCGGCCACGTGTGCAGCACCTTCTCTTCCTCCTTTTCGTATTATTTCAAGCCTTGTTATCTGTAAGATGAAACTAAATCTCCCTTGTCCCCTACACAACACCGCTTTTATCGTCAGTATTAATTTAGTCAAAACACGGATTAATATTTCCATAGAACAAAACACATCACAGAGTGCCCGTTCAGAAAACAGTTCAATAGAAAAGCTAGTACTTTTCTATTTTAAAACGAGTTCACAATCAGTAACATCGGCACAGATCGGCCAACACAGAGGCGGCTCAGACTGACCTCCAGCTCTCTGCTCAAACTGACCAGCTTCACGGGGGCTTGATCTGCATCCTTCCCACAGCGGGTCACCCCAAATTAATTAGGCCTCAGAATAATTTCATCATCACCACATGCAACATGTGGGATGCAACATTCTCCTGAGGGAAAAGGGGTCAAATCTCGAAAAGAATGCCAATCTCCAGACCCCAGGAAATGGTTTTAACTTCCACTAAGAGGACACGCAGGACAAGCGAGACCGACAGGTGTCACCAGTTAAGACTGAGGCTCTTTCAGAGGCTCTCTCCCTCGTTTGGTCACTTGGGTCCCAGTGACACTCATTTTCCTCTGAGATGTCTCTGACCACACCCAGAAGAGGAAGCAGAAAGCCCTTTAAGAGTATGGTAATTCCATTAGAAACAAATGTTTTAATATTATTAATCTGGCAGAAAAATAGGGAATTGTGCTCAATGAAGGTAACCAATTCGTCTCCACCTAGTACCAATCACACTATAATCTAACCAGGGAGAACCACAAAAACACACACCACTACCTTTTCTTTAGAGCTTACTATAAAGCATCGCTTTTCAAAGATACTTCCCCCAAACATCTATAGCTTCTGAGAAATTATGCTTTACAAATAAAATCAAAAGAAGGGTTCTCCCTTTCCTTTAGAAAATGTTTATGTTTAGGGACGCCTGGGTGGCTCAGTCCGTGGCTCAGGTCATGATCCCAGCATCCTGGGATCAAGTCCCACATTGAGCTCCCTGCTCAGCGGGGAGTCTGCTTCTCCCACTCCCTGCCGCTCTCCCTGCTGGTGCACTCGCTCTCTCCCTCTGTCAAGTAAATAAATAAAATCTTTAAAAAAAAAAAAAAAAAGAATGTTTATGTTTAGAATACAGGTTTGCAAGTAGTTACTTTTTATTTTTTTTAAGATTTTATTTATTCATTTGAGACACAGAGATACTGAGAGAGAGAGAGAGAAAGCATGAGCAGGGAGAGAGGCAGAGGGAGAGGGAGAAGCAGGCTCCTTGCTGAGCCAGGAGCCCGATGCGGGGCTCGATCCCAGGATCCTGGGATCATGGCCCGAGCCGAAGGCAGACGCTTAACGACTAAGCCACCCAGGCACCCCTGCAAGTAGTTACTTTTTAAAATCCCAAAGAGTTTTCATGAAGATGTTGGTAGTTCAGTTTTGAATGAAAAGGAAGGAAGAGGAAGGAAAAGCACCCAGAACGTCAGCTACACCAGAGACCTAGAAAAGACTGCGCTCAAGAGCACACTGGACAGAACCCCACACTGAGCCCCCCTGCCCTGCAGGGATCAGCAGGCCCTTCTCACCACTGACACCTTACACACTAACAGACTCTCTAAACTGAAGTCCTTATAGTGCAGGAACGTGTAAGTTGCCATGAATTCAGGTTCTGCTTCCTCGACTACCAACCACATGCCAGACACAACTGAGGCCCTGGAGACACAAGCTCAAGATACGGGCTCTGTCCTCAAGGCACAGACAGCACAGCCATTTAACTGCGGGCACCCACCACTCCTTGAGTCCTGAATGTGTTCTCACACACAGTGCTGGGGGCTTGGTGGAGGACACAAGCAGCCTGTAGTCCGCCTGCCACCTTCTGGACCTCTCCATGCCAGCCAGCAGCCCTGGGTGCCCCTCCCAGGCCCCTTCTCTTTCTTCCTCTTCTCAGACCCTCATCCAAAGCAGCTTCCCACACATCGACCGCGAGGCCAGGCCTACGCCCTGAGCTCCAGGCCCGTGGACCCAAAGCCTCCCGGGACATCATAAGAAAGATGTCTAACAACAGTCAGCACATACAAAACCAACAGCTCCCCCCACCAAGACCCCCAGAGTCTTCCCCACAAGACAGTCTCAGTTCGGCCATAAACCTCAGCACCATCTTCAAGTTCTCCCTCTCTCTGTGCCTCCCACCACCCCCATCACTTCTAGTCTGTACGTAGTCCTGCTATCTCAACCCTCAAATACACCCAGAAGTCAACCTCCTCTCTCCACCCTGAGCTGAGCGTCCACGGCCTCTCACCTGGTTAGCAACAGCCTCCCAGCTGGTCTCGTTTCTGCCCGTGCCCCTCTTCAGGACAGGCTGTATATCCTGGACAGGGCAGCCAGAACCAGTCCGCTAAACATCCGTCCCGTCACATTATTTCTCTACTCAAAACCTTCCAAGACTCACCAACTCATTTAGAATAAACGCCCCAGTCCTCACTGTGACCCAACCAGGCCCCGTGACTGGGCCAAATTTGTCTCTCTGCCTTCAGCTCCTACTTCTCTCACCCACACCTGCCGCACCCTGTGGCCACACGGGCCCACTTGCCCTTCCTCCTGCACTGCTTTTGGGTCTGGGTCAAAACTTACCTCTGTCTGCAGTGAGATTTCTTCCCTGGCCATCCTGGCTATGATTCTAACTCCCTCCTGCTTGGCCCACATCACTCTCCCACGTGAGCCCCATGGTTTTGTCTATTCTGTTCACTTCTCCAGCCCCAGGGTCTAGAACAATGCCCAAGACAAACCTCTCATTCAATAACAAACGCAGTTTCTTGAATGGATCACTGTAAAAACAACTAGAAACTGCGTAAGACTTGGTCAAGAAAGGCAGGCTTTGTAAGGAGTCCAGGGATCAGAGGAGGCTGCACCATTAATCACCCCTAAAAAGATGTGCAGCATCGTGTCAGAAAAAAGCTCTCCACCACAGCCTCCAAAGATCGTATGTATTTTTATCAGCATCAACAGCAGCCTTCAAATACAAACACTTTTTTCGACTTTGAAATACCCTTCAACTTTAACCTGATGATTTTCACGTTTAAGGTAACATGACCAACACTGAATTGTGTTTTTCCACCTTTCCCAAGTCTCTCCTACAAAGTCTAAAATATCCGAGCAGTGATAACTTCAAAGAAAGCAGACAAATAGTGCTATTCCTTTCTCCACCCCATTTCCCCAGCAAACAGTAAAACACTCTCTCTGGTTTCTCTTTTTTAAACAAACTTCACAAAAAAACAATCTGGTTAACATGCTTCTTTGGGAGTTAGGACTACTGTTTGCTCCAGCCAGATGCCACGAGTCATTGAAATACTGGCCATACACGTCTGCATTCCGGTTTCCAAACCGAGATTTCGGTAAATTTAAGTTGCCCACGCCAAGAGAAGACAGACAAAGCAAACAAAGCCATCCAGGACGACAGGTGGAATTAAACCAGGTGGCGGCGGGGCGGGGGGAGGTGCTTGAAGGCAAATCACTCCCTACAAGGAATGAAAGGACTAAAACTACCCTGGGATGAGAGAGCCCGTAGCAGTTAAGCCCACTGGACAAAGACCCAAAATAGCTTACAAGCAAAAATTAAGGAAGTGTCCGCTCTGGAACAGAAGCGTGGTAAGACAGGCCAGAGGGCCACGTATGCACGTACCCCCACGGGTACACGGACACACATGTACGCATACGCCCTCCCACCCGCCACGTCCTCGCATCAGGACCCCAAGAAGTTAAGATATGCCGAGATGAACTCAGGTCCTCTCTTCAACCCCGAACAGGAAACCCGCAAGCTCTGCTGGGCACTGAGATGCGCGTGCAGAGCGCCGGGAGCGTCCTCCGGCCTCCAGCCTCCCAGGGTAACTTCCGGACAGCTCAAGAGCTTCCACTCCTTACGGCTCGGGGCACGGGGTGGGGGCGGGCACAGCACATTCTGCGGCCGCCGGTTCCGGAGCCCGCTCCGCCCGGCGCCCCTCCCGCCCGCCTCGGACAGCACGCCGCCCCCGCTTGTCCGCGCCGGCTTTGGGCCTGTCGCCGGGCGCCCGGGCGCTGCGGGCGGGACTGAAAAGCGCCGAAACACGCAAACCGCCGCCTGTCAGACCCGCGCCGGCCTTCCCACAGACGCCGTCCCCGCCCCGCTCGGCGCCAGCGCCGGCTCCGCCCCGCGGCCCCGCGCCCAGCCCGCACCCGCGCCGCGCTGGGAGAGACCCCGGCGGCCGAGGGGCCAGGAGGGCGTCGCCCGCGGGTCTCCCCGCGTCCGCCAGGGCCCTCACCTGCGTCCATCTTCCGTCTCCGGCCGCCGACTGAGCGCGGCGTCGCTCCGACGGTTCCGCAGCGCGACGCGACGGGCCGCTGCCGGGGCCAATCCGGGCCCAGAGGGCGAGGGCGCGGGCGGGGCCGGAAGTGCGGGCGGAAGGGCACGTCCGCCATCTTGGCGTACGGTGAGGCCCAACGCCGAGGGCCGGGCCCGCGCGCTCGGCTCGCTGGCGGCCTGCACCGTTCGCTCCGGGGACCCTGACGGCGACCCGCGGGGGTGGCGGAAGCAGCCGCGGACGAGCGGCGGGGCCCCGGGGAGGACGTGGTAACCCGCCGCTCGGCCGGGCCGCCGGCGCGGCCATCTTGCCGTACGGACGGCCCGGCGCGCCATGCCGCCGTACGGGGCCGCCGGCCCAGAGCGCCCCCGCCCACCCCCGACGCCGCGAGCCGCGGGCTGCGCCCCGCCGAGCCCTGGGGAACCCGGGCACGCCGAGGCCCGGCCGGGCGGCCGGGCGGCGGGGCGGCAGGGCGCGCGCCGCCATCTTGCCGTACGGGAGCCGCGGGGGCCGGCTCCCACGTCCCGCAGCCGTGTCGCCGCGCGCCCTCCCCTCGGGGCGGTCCCGCTCGCGGCGCGGCGAGGCGAGGGCCGGAGCCTGGCGGCGGCGCGGCGGCCTGAGGCCCGAGATGGTGATCTGCTGCGCGGCCGCGAACTGCTCCAACCGGCAGGGCAAGGGGGAGAAGCGCGCCGTCTCCTTCCACAGGTAAGCGGGCTCCGCCCGCCGCCGCCCTGCCCGCCGCCCGCGCGGCTCCGCCGGCCACGCCCCCGCCCGGCCCGGCCCGGCCCGGCACGACGGGGAAACTGAGGCCGCGCGGCCCGGCGCGAGGCGGGAGGCCCTCGGCGCGCCTGGCCTCGGGGCCGGCTGGCGAGTGAGTCAGCGCCGGGCGCTGTGTGACCTTGGCCCGGGCCGCCGTCTCTGGGCCGGGCGCCGCGGCTCGCCGCGGCCGGCTGCGCCCCCCCCCGCCCCCCCC